CGTCGTCATGCTGAGTTACTTACGTAGCTTAATAATAAAAATAGTTATTTTACTTGTAGCAATGGATATAAATTAAACAGTGGACTCGTGAGATGATTTGAAATACAACTCCAGATAATAATATTTTACTCTATCAATCGGTTTTCAAGTGTGAAAATAACTGTTCCTTGTTTCAATCAGAATCTATAAAAAAAATTATAATTTCAAAACAATAAATCGGAATTCACAGTCAAAAGATAAAATAACCTAAACATGTGAAAATGGTTTTAAAACAATGAAAAATATCCGTAGTTAAATTCATATTATAATAGCTAAGACATTTTATTTTAGACCTCAGTTATTTTTTTTAAGTAATTTATGGGTTTCATTAGTATTTGAAATGAAAGTTTATTAGCTATACGAAAAATCCAAATAAAGTCAGAATATTTTTTTGTCACTTGATAGTGCATTTTTACTGCGCGAAAATATCTAACTGAGGTAATACAAATAAATAACATTATGAATACAATCGCGAAGGAAATTACTTCATGTTATTATGGTATGTTGTTTTATTTATTACTCGAATCGGTTTACTATGAAAAAATATAAATGCAAATATTATACGAAAAAAATTACTTTCTTCCAATTTGATAACCTAACTTGACATAAATTATTTAAAAAATGTGTACCAATTAACAACATTTAATAACAAATCTATAGCATAGGAAATTATGGTGTACAATCATTATTAATTGTAATCTTGTAATGATATCAATCTAAAAAATATATTGTGAAAGTAAATATTTCCCAGTTCTATGAGTGGTCAGAAAGATATTAATTTGTTACTCGATATAGGAAGTTTGAATGATAATAACCATTTAATGGCGTTCATGGTTTAATTTTTCACGTTTTATATATTTTATTTGATTTAATATTCGAATAATTTGGATAAGACTTATATTATTGTGAATGCGATTTATAAGTTATGATTTAGAACAATCATGGTTGGTTATTGTTTATAAAATTGTATTATAAATATAATTGATTTCGTAAAAAGTATAATACGACCGTGTGATTCACCATCAATAACCACAACTGTTGAAAACGATAAGTTTAAAAATACTCTTTTGTCGACTGCACAGATAGATTTATACAATGAGCAAAGATTTATGTACTATGGGCGCGAGATACTTTTCAAGACTTATTAATAGTCCTCCGACCGTACACCGGAGACAATTATTTCGAGAGTGACGCGTTATTTTAGAAAGTTTGGCAACGAATAAAAGGATTTTTTTTCCACGGCGAAACGCGTGTAAAAAAACAATACTGTCCGCGCGAAGCCTTGGCGACTGCAGCACGCCCAGCCCGTCATCGTAAATTGACACTAAAACATCGCCGAGTCTATTAAGCGATAACACTGCGGTAGGCATGTATAATCGGTTGATGGAAGTCCCTAATCATTATTATTTGGAAAACGGATTGCCAAGTGGTGAAATATATTATATTTTAATAGAATGTTTAATTGATGCGGTCGTTCCGTTTTCGAAACGGTACGAAAATAGCATTCGCAACGGCGCGTCGGGAATCCGGGGAACGGTGAGCATCGTCTTCGATGAATAAAATACACATATGAAAAGAAAACGGTCGTCAGCTTCCCTTATTGGTGTTGTAATCCTGCGCACACTTCTGGGCGGTGACGGCTTATACTGTCGCGGTATAAATAATCGTTCGTACGTATACGTCGTATAGTGTGTTTACTCTTTATTGGTTTGTTAGTATAACGTTGCCTTTAGGAGTTTATTAACTCGCAGCGTCTCGGTAACTGCGAGGGACGATGGGGCGTGGTTGCCACTCGACATTAAAGTCTAAAAGCCTCGTCGTTCTTTAAAACAGACGATTTCCTTCCACGTGGTACGAAAAATTGATGTTCCGTACGAAATAACACGGATAACATTTTTTTATGTTTAAAAAAAAAAAAAAAAACGTTCAGTCACCGTTTAAAAACGACTCGTGTTCGTCGTGAACTCATAATGGTTTTTTTAATTTTTATTTTTTTTATTTATTAATTTAATTGTGTCGATACATCAAGTATTTTTACAATGTCATTTAAGTTTAAAATTTACAGCTAATATACAATCATATTTACAAATTTTTGGTGAGTTTATAAGTCTATATCCATGTCTGAATCTGAGGCGTCTTCTTTGGGTTTAAGTAAAATATCCTATCGTAGCCGTGGTTTTAACCTAACTCATAATGTGCGCGTGCTGCGGTTTTATATGGTTTTTGCCTTTCCGTTTTCGACAACGGTGTAGACGATAGTTTGTCTGTTGACTGTGCGAAACGTGAACGTGTAACGCATCCTCGGGATGAGCATCTTGTTCACCAGTGACGATTATGCGATATAATTCTGTACATAATATGCACATCTTATGCCGAACAGTAGCGTAGTGACTTGCATGAAAACTTCGTGGGCAGTTAATCGATTCGCATACGTCATTATACCGATAAAGGTACTACTGGTCTTACGTGACCAAAACGGTCTCTGGACGGTAATAACGGCGACCTATACTGCGATCAATATATATTGAATATTATATAATAAACAATGGCGTACCAAGACTCGCTAGCGCTCCTTGCTAACTTGGAAAAAAATACCTTTTGCGCAAATTCGCACCCCTTTTCTGTACGCGCCTCAGGCGTAGGCACAGTTCGCCGTACCTTTGCTACGCCACTGATTGTATATACATAATAATACGAGCTAAATGCGCAAAAAATAATGGTATGCGTACGAACATTTGGGCTTCTGACTACGAGCGTAATTGATTTTTCACTATAAAATTCAAACAAAAAAGCGTCCTAAAAGGTTGCCCAAAAAAAAGGAAGTCATTTTTAATAATTTTGACTGGAGAAACGTTTCTAAACCCTATAAAGGGCTTTAAAACATCATATGTTCACGTTCTTTTGCTGTCCGTACTCAAGAATAGAAACAAAAATCAAATAATCTTTGTTTACAATCTTCCACTTCTATTATTTTTAAAAAATTAGTATCCTGTCCTGGTTAGTTTAAAATCTATACCGATCAATTATGTGGTTTAATTAAAAACTTTCATGGTCCAAAATTTTTTCACCTCGTATCGTTTGTTCATTCAATTAAATCATATTATATTTTCGATCCGATCTGGTAGTAAAATAGGTTAATAAGAATGTTGCTGGAATGGTGTTGTTTAACATTTAAAAAAACTTCGCCTCTCCTTAGATTTTAGGTTTTGGCGCCACTGATGGACCGTGTAGAGGACTATTAGGTACACATGCCGCGCCCGTGTGCAATCGACTCGAACACTTTGATAAGTTTGCGGCGCACGATATCCAGTAGTTAACTTAAACTTCTGTTAAACGATCGGTGTTAGAAGTTTGTACGATTTTTATTCGAAAGAGTAACGTACTGCTGCGTTATATATCGGTGGTTAATATCGTGCCTAGTACATAATACGAAAAATAGTATAGTAAATATATCCGAGGCGTTAATTAAAAAAAAAAAAAAAAAGCCTACAAACAAAAAAAAATTAAAATCCCGTTATTAAGGGTGCGCTATGTTTTATATATATATAATATTCATGATACTTATTTTGTTATTATTTTAACTACTTTATTATTGATAGTAAAATGGTTAAATTTAATTAGATCAGTGGGTAGTTTCTCAAATACGGTTTTCAATATTTTATGACAAGAGATAATCATCAATTTCGTCAAACAAGCTACATACTTTACTTTATTTATGAACGTAGTTTGAAAAAATATTGTCATGACAATTCTTCAAACAAATCATAAACATGGTTTTTGTTATAACGTGTTAAATAATTAATTTGACCGATTATTTCGTCGATCATTTTTTATGAATGAATATTATGTTAAATATTCTATATTGTTATTTTTTGTACCTATACTAAGAACTCGAATAATTTAAAAATAAAAAATAAAATATAATTGGAAAATGTATTTTAAATATATATGCGGTACATTTTTTAATCTGTACATTTCTTAACCACAACATTTAAAATTAAATCATCTACGATTGAAGATTTTATTAATAAGTTAGGTTTTCTTGTAAAATTAGCAACATTTATTTAGGCGGTAGAATAATGAAGATAAAATAAAGCAATCTGTACAGGACAAAGGTTGATTTATTTAACGTGATTCTTTATGAATTAACTTTCTAGCATATTTTCACCAAATATTATACCATTTTTTATGCAATATATTTCATTTTTTTTTTTCATTCCGATTTATCAATAATTACGGTTTGACAATTATAGGTTCAGATAATTATGTAAATATTGTATAATATTTAATATTTGAACTGGAGCAATGATGAGGATGTGCGGAAATTTTTTATCTATTTAGATTAACATTCTTCGTGTACTTAGAATTGTTCGTACTCGAAATAATTACAACTGTTTGTCTGTTACTCAGTTTGGTCATATCGTACCAAAATTTTCAAAATAATGATCTGTTTAACGATTCAGAGTTGAAGTGTTAGACTGTCGTTTAAAAAGTTGACACGAACAGCGACGGAGGAGAAAAAATAACAGCACTCGGACCGTTCGGCGTAGATCTTTTTCCGTCGAACAATTAAAAAAAAAAAACGAACAAAATGGCAATTATCACGTAATTATATCACATGTTTTCGAAGTTCGTTTTTCAAAAAAAAAAAAAAAAAAACAATAATACTGTTATCGATCCCGTAATTATAACGTGGAAAATGTTTACGATCACGTGATACAGCGCGCTTCTTTTATCAGTCGTGGAATTCTTGGAACGATGCTGTTGCCCAGTGCAAGTCGCTTATCAGCAATTGAATTCAGACGATTTCGTCGTTTATTTTGTATAGTTAGTAGTGAAGAAAATCCTTGCTCGCATAAATATGTGGTTGAAAAAACCACGAGGAAACCCAATGCTGTTTGTTGAATATTTGATATCCCATAGCCTTTTTACGCCAAAACTCTTCTAAGTTTGTATTATATTCAAATGAAATTTTCAAGTTGCTGTCGTTCTGAAGCTCTATTAATTCTTCTTGGATTTTTTCTTAAACGTTCTTGACTTTGACAGTGAAAAAATTATGAATTAACTTCTTAAAAGCATCAGTGTCTCCTACGCCATATTCTGGAAAGAATCTGGTAAATTCTCCTTTAAGGATTCGTAAGTGTTCTAATACATTACTTTGAATATATTCTGTAAAACATTTGTAATATTCGTCATCAATAAGAATTCGCAGTGTAGGAAATGCAGAATAATTTTTTTACTTGAGTTTTGTCAATCCGAAGATTTATTTTACAGACAAAAGCGCGAACTTTATCTTCAAATACGAAAATATTTGCAGAACCTTCAAGTTTAACAATACCAGAACCTTGCAGTTGCAAATTGAAATTTAAATGGACAAATATATCTGCAACATAAGCAATTTGCATTTAAATTTTTGGCTCAGAAATTTGCTCATGTAAATAATTTATACCTTTATCAATTAAAAATACCTTCAACTCCTCTCGAAACTCAAGTAAACATGCCAACAAATTTCCTTTTGAAAGCCATCTTGTTTCAGTATGAAATAGTAATGTTTCATGCTCAGCGTCCATATTTACACATAATTTTTGAAAAACTCGTATATTAAGTGCACTATTTTGAACAGCATTGACTAACTGTTTGGATATTTCCATTGCAAAAGCTAAGTTTTTTGGTAATGTTTTGGATGCCAACGCTTGACGATGTATAATATAGTGCGCTATTAATGTGGTTGGATTTTTTTTTTGTTTTACCAATACAGCTAAATCTGAACGTGACCCGAGCACAGCAAGAGCACCATCGGTACAAAACCCAACAAGATATTCCCACATTAGTATATGTTTTTCAAAATAATCAAGAATTATATGCATAACGTCAACCCTTTTTGACGTAGTTTCTAATACTTCTGATAGTTATAATTCTTCTTTGATTATACTATCTTCACTTAAAAATCGAACAAAGATTAGCAATTGACAACAATATGCAACATTCGTATTTTCGTCACACTGAAGAGCAAACAAGGGAGATTTTTTCATGAGACTGTTCTTCAATGTCTTATACATATTTCCTATTCGTGATCTTACAGTGTTATTTGATAAAGGAATGTCTTGTATTTTTTTCTGCTTCCTTACCTAAAATATTTTCGGTGGCTTTCAACAAACATGGTTTAACCAAAGTTTCGCCAATCGTATGAGGTTTTTTAGATTTTGCAATTAATAGAGAGACCTCATATGATGCATGAAGCACTTTTTCAGAGGTTTCAAATCTCGTACCACTTGTCCGAAGTTTCATTTTTTTAAAGTTTTCCTTCTTACCTTCAAAGAATTCTCAAGAACGATTACTAAAATTTGGGTGGACTGTCTTCAAATGTCGTCCCAATTTTGCTAGGTTTAAGTGCATAATTACTGAGAACTGTTGTACAAATCACGCACTGTGGTCTTACTTCCTTATTTACTGTAATATTAGTAAAACAAGATTTAATGTAATCATCATTGTATTTTCTTTTTTTTTGGTGGCATGTTTAATAGCAATATCATACAAATAAATAAATGTTAATTAATCAAATAACGCACAACGCACGACGCATGACGCATAACGTACGTGCGATATGACAAATAAATATCATATGAGTAAAAGAATAATAGTATATATTATGAAGATAAAATACAAAACAAGTAGGTTAGTGGATAATGCCTACGTAATAATAAACTACACAAAACATATTATCGTCAGGTTATGAGACATATACTGTAGTGGAAAAACACATATAACTATTTATCACAATTCAGATATACCCGCATGACTGAATGTTATTTATATCCGTACATAAATTTTCATTGGTCGCGGGAGTGTATTATCTGGCTATAGGGTGCTAAGCCTTAATTTCGTAAATAACAAAAAATATAAAGTATAATTTCGTTTATTTTTTTAAATTTGAATTTCTTCATTTGCGGACCACTTGAAATGAGTCCACGGACCACCAGTTGGGAATCACTGCACTAGGCGAACTAGATTAAAAATCGCTCATCGCCTATCATTGCTCACTAGTCGGTTTTAGACTGCTTGTGTTAACCAAAAAAAAAAAAAAAACGTGCCAACATGTAAAATAAAATAGCTTACCTTTAGCTCGTGGTTGCTCGAGGTGAAAAGTAATTTTCTGTGCTATTACGTGTTTTTTTTTTTTATTATTTCGTCATTGTTTTATTTATATAGGTACTGTATACGCAAAAATTAATGTTTATTTTATGTTGTATTTCTTACAAAATATATTATTAAATTGTGAAATATCCGGATAATATAATTTACATTTATTATACTTATTATTCTATACTATATTATAATTTAGTTTTTTTTTTATATTTACCTACATAATACGTATTTAAATATTATTAAATATTTAACGCTTACTTGTTTTCTAAATACAATTCTCCCCAGATATTTCATTAATATCAATAAGATCAAACGTGTTTAGGTTTTTCTGTACCGTCCACCACCAACAATAAAACGGAAGTGATAAATATCGCCTGATACGATGAATAAAACACTCTTGGTACCTATAAACAGTTCCATTGAAAACAATGTGTTTGATTACAGCGGTCAAAGGCGAAAGTTCGCCTAAAATTAAACATGCGCGTTCAAACGCGGGCGTCTACGGTTTTTAATCATGTGGTTTTTTTTTTTAGTGTGAATACACCGGATTTAATTGTGGCTGTCTAAATTCAAGCGAATGATTGCGACGGCTTTTGATCGCGCGGATAAACCGCCTAGTATGTGTAATCATAGGTGGAACTAGGAATTTTTACACCTGGAGAAAATGTTAAAATTACGCCCTATTATAGATCAATAATCAAATACTCTTCACGAGAATTTTTTTCTAATAATTAATATACAATTATACTTATTGAGTTTTAACCTAATATCCAGTGGTGCACTCAGGGGGGGGGGTTAAGGGGATGTAACCCCCCCCCAAATTTTCTCCGATGTCTAGGTTAAAATTTACAAATTTTACAAGTTTGAAATATAAAGAGCTAATATTGAATACCTAGTAATTAATACCTACTAATACCTAGTATCATTGATTATAAAATAGTCTATTCTATTATCAATGCTATTATTTAAGTCAAAATATATTAAGGATTTGCATAATTTTGTTAATTGTAAAATGTGTTATATTTTTACCTCGACCTCCTCCCCCCGAAAAAAATCTTGTGTGCGCTACTGCTAATATCGGTGTATAGCAAAGTTATAAATATCAAATTAGTTGTTAATAATTATAAAAATTAAATCGACTAAAATTTTATGCCCGGGTATGAATCCCCATGTTCCACCCCGTATTTCCGCCCCTGTGTGTAATGCACTTCAGGCGCGATTCGGCCCGGACCGATCTATCGATGGATCGTCAACATTCCGGTCAGGGTTCGTGGCACCACGGGCGCGACGTACGTCACGAACGACAAACGAATCAACGTTGATTCCTTCGGCGTCGTAACGAAACGACAGGAATTGCTAGAACCGCGTAAGCGCAAAGCGGTGAGACACGCCAACGATGACCACCGCACGCGTACGGTTTAAACTTGCGAAACGATTAAAAACTGTTCAATTGCTAACATTATACGACTGCGCAACACGACGTGTACAGTTGTAATCGTAATTGTATATAATTCGCGTACAACGATCGCATTGTAGCGGTACACTACGTGTTATTATAACCGTTGATTTATTTTATTTTTTCTTCGCTCTAATCGCTCGATACTTGCAAAACAAAGAGCTCCGCGTAAATCGGGTCCCACACGAATCGCGTAGGAAAGGTGTTTGTCGAGTCACCAACCGATGATTCCTATCGGTCGTCGGTGAACGTGACACGAGTCGTGTGGCACTGGTTTTAGTAGTACGTACCAGGTGTTGTTCTAACGGGCAGTACGACCCGAATCGGGTAGTAGGAAAAATCAAAAGGTCGGTTGCCTTTACGAATATGTGCACCTTACAAAATCATGCTTTTCCATGTAGAATGATTGAATCTCTACTGAGTACTTGAAACGTGTGTAATTTACAAACCCAACGTAGTACCTAATGAGTAATAATTATGTAATTTTACAATCTTTGCTGTTTCGATGGTTGATTAATCTAAGTAATTTCAATCTAAAAAGCGGTATACGTATAACGGGAAAGATCCATTTTTTTTATTTTTTTTTTTTTTTTAATATTTTACCGCGCAATGGTCAAAATTCTAAAATATCAATACCTACACAATTTATTTGGGGACAGGGTAAGTGTTGTAATCCAAATATATTTTATAAAACGAACTTTTCAGCGTGTTTGGGCAATAGGTAAAAATCCTTAGGATAAGCCTTGGTACGTAAACCCGCGACTGACTGCGGCTGTACGGGATTCAACCGAAACGCGGTTCGCCGTACCGGATCGATCTGACCGGCTGCTCCGACCGCGCGCGATAAAATTACCCATTCGATAACGCATTGACGGGCGCGTAAATAAAAGGAAAACACTACAGTCGTGCGCGTCCTTAACGCTTTATTTTCGCATATTTTCCATTGTTTAAAACATGTTGTTTTACGCTACGCCGTTTCGTACGATCCATCAATCCGAGTGCGATCCAATGACCAACATGATAATAACAGTTATCAGAGGCGATTGATCGCTGTCTCGACAAAAGTCGTGAGATTCGTTTTTGTTCTTCGCGCACCTATGTCGGAAACATTAGCTATGAAATCGACCGTTCAACGGTTCAACTACGGAGAGCGATTACACGGATTTTCTTACCGCTGACGTGTTCGACGTGGTAAACTGTTAAAAAAAAAAAAAAAATAAAACAATAACGTCATTAGACGGAAACGTTTAGGAGGTTACGGGATTAAGTTTTTTAAATATTAAAATACTACGACCAGCCAGTTTAAGTGTTTTGAATACCTTATAACAGCGGACCGACCATACGTTCTTTTCGACCAACTTTGTCAAGTTTTTCCTTCGATTTACGCGTGATACAAAAATTGTATATGTCGTTTCGGAAACCGATTCCGATCGTAGGACGCTAAACCGATAGAAAACTTAACGTTCGGTTTGCCGAGCCCCCGTTTTAGGGGAAAATGTCGCAGAAGGAAGATGTAGGGAGGAAAACGTTCGATGGGAAACGGTTGCCGGTGTGAGCAAAGGCCCGCCTCTCACCCCGGGCAACGGTCCGGTTCTCTTGTCCCGGGGTCGAATCCGGTCTCGTCGTGCGAGAATTCCGCACATGCCTACACGCTGTACGCGTACACTGCCGAGTCGCATCACACGCGATGCCAATAATTATATCGTATCCCGTACCGCACGCGAAACCGAACGAAAGATAATGCGCGCATACGTAATCGCGATAACGGCCGGTGTGCATGCGACGGAGCTCGCCCGGTACGTAATATATTGTTTACCACGGACATAATTCGTTCGACATGAATAAATATTGCCGCGTTTGCCGCGCTCGTTACGCAAGCGATGGGGTGTATTTATTCGACCGGGACGACGCGCAGATAACGCAGGTACGCATATTCCGAAAACGGATCGGATCGTTCGGTGAATATGTAAATACGAATCCGTGTGCGAATAAATCTTGCTTTCTGGTTCGAAACAAAACGAGAATTGATAAGGACGAGCAGAATAAAAAAAAAAAAAAAACGAATAAATTGTTGTCGGCAATGTTGAGGGGCACCCCATACGCGATCCGTTTAACTGTGCAGTCTATCACGTGTGACGTGTCTTGTCTGAGCGATTAACCAAGGTAACTGTGCAGTTTCGGTTGATTTTCAATCAGGTTTTTGACCTGTGTAATAAGTTATACTTTCAAGGGCGCCGCCAGGAATTTTGACAGGGGGTGCATCGTGCATAGTAGGGTAAAGTGAGGTATATTCGTGAAATTATTTGTTAAACGCATAATATAATTCTCTATTACACGATTGATTTGAAAATTACATTGATCCTTAAAATGACTATTTTTAAGGATCAATGTAATTTTCTAGTCAATCGTGTAATAGGGAATCACATCATACGTTCAACAAATAGTATCATGAAATTGCCTATGTCACGAAAATACCTTACTTCACCCTATACGCTGATTTTTAAATAATGTTTAATTTATTTTAGTAGAAATATTTTTTCAAATTATATGTCGATACAAAGTTATTTTTATTTATTTGTCGGATACAAAGTAATAAGGGGTATTGGCTACGATTAGAAAATCCGATAATAATCGACAACTCGTAAGCTTATCGTATGTGTTAAAAGTGACCGATTTATAAATTGAATATACTTGTGACAACTGGCATGTCCTTTATATTGAAAAAACCTAGGCGTTTACAGTTACCTATTATTTAAAAAATAAGTATTATAATTTTTAATAGATAATTTTGTAAAATAAATATTATAATAGATTACCTATGTAAGATAAAATATTTTCAATAGGTACCATTAATTTTTTTTTTTTTTTTGAGAAGTCAAGAGGGTGCAATTACACCCCCTTGCACCCCCACTCGCGGCGCTCTTGTATACTTTGTACCGATAAACTGCGGAGTTAGCTCAGGGAATCACACTGTCCACGCAGTCTTGTCTCGTCTTTCTAGCAGTGAGTGTCGCATAAAAAAAGCTGCTATCAAACAACACACAGCTGCTTTTCTTTTTCCGTCACCCATCGTTAAAACACGAACTGTACACTGTGATAACCAAACACGTGAAATACTTAGTACACAGAACGGTGGTTATAGTTATTGGTGTTATAAATGTTATACTAATGCCATTATTAGTTATTGTTGTTACACTTATTATTATAATGTCGTCATAATTACTACAGTAACTGCAGCACCATGGTGCTTTAAATATTATTTTAACCGTCGTTCTTCCGAGATCTCCTTATTGACCAATTAGCTTTCGACGACCGTTTTGTATTCTCCTATCTAACGATAATGAACACATTTCTTTGGGTATTTACTTTGGCTACAATAATATCGCTAACACTTATAAATAAGCCAAACACACCGATTGTAATTATTAAATAACAAAATACGAAAAACACAAGAACAAATTTTTTCAAGATGACGTACGATATCCCTAGTAATTTGAAAAAATTTACATGTTTGCACAAATATGGAGTGCACTTTTTGTGGTACCCTCCTAAATTTTCACAATCAAGATTAGGAAACAAGAAAACAAGTAAAATATTAATTTAAATTATAATAGCATTTAGGCAAAAAAATGTTTTTAAATAATATTTTTATTGCCAACAAAATGTGTATACAATTTCATAACACATTTTGCTATACAACATTTATATTTCAAGTTTAGTTTAATACTTAGAAATTGAAATATGTAGTTTTATGAGATGGAAAAAACAAATAAAAAAATGATTTACATTTTTAGATATTACAGTAATGTGATTAGATTTGAACTAGCTTCATCAAATGTATTTAGCTTTGGCGGAATATTCTCTTTTTTAATTGTATAATTGTATAGAGTGGAACGTTTGATACATTTTTAAACTTAGCTAAAAGTTTTCTAGGACGAATTCCTGAAAGCCATTTTTCACAAAAATTTAATATTTCAAACCAAAACACCATACAATGATCTGAATATACTAACCATTAAAAAATTTACTGAAAAACAATCGTTATATTCCTAAAAACACAAAAATATGTTAAATTTTAAATCATAAGGCGTCAGTATTAGATATGCTAAAATATAGCAGAAATTTAGTGAATAAATGGTCAATAAAAACAAAATTATAAAAGCGATTTAAAATAATTATCACCCAACTATTTAATAAAATACCTACTGATATCGTGATTTTTGCACTTAAATTATGCAATAAAAGAATTATCACATTGATCATTGAACTTCTATGATATATAATACCTACCGTTTAAAGGTGAACAATTATTGGTATAATATGCACAAATAATATGGTTTGTATTTTTTTTTTTACATTTTTATGTTTATTAATTAGTTTATTTTTCTTTCGTTTTCACTGTTTTATAACTACGAACATTTTATTTTTCACCTATCATCAAAACTCCTTATGTTTTTGTTTATATGTTATATTTACTTATATATGTTTGGGCAAACGATTATATTTTTATCGAAAATGTACAAAAACTTAAGAACTCTGTGCCAACACCAAACGAGTTCTCTCTGTAGAGACACTGTATTAATTTTACGCATTTTAAGTAAATAAATTATTAAACATACATATATTTATCCGTCGAACATTTGGTAAGAAACGTCTGCAACGAAACGTTCATTGCAGATTTACGTCACATTTTTTTATCGTTCGCAACTTACCATCTGATAACGAAATGCCATAAAATACCGTCGTGATTTGCGCGATTAGTATAGTAATAATTAGCTAAAGCTTTGTGACGGATTTAGAAGGGAGCAACGCGTGCACCATCATAGCACTGCTGATGGCGAAAAACGTACACAAGTCGAGCGTTCGCTTGAAATGTATGTTCACGTCGCCCACCCAGGACGTGCTGGCCAAGTTGTTTTCGGACGCAATACGCAAAGGTAACGCGATACACCAGGATCTGTTCAAAAACTGCTCGGATGACGACCAGGACACGAACCTAACCGTGCCGGAAGCGATGAACGCGGCGAAATCGTGTCTAGGCACGTTGACCGAATGGGTGAGCCTCGCGAATACGGGTCGTAACGGCGTATGAAATGATCGCGAAAAACGTGCCCGTGTCGCGTTGTTTTTTTTTTTTTTTGTTCTTTTTTTCCAGAAAAGTTTCGTCTACAGGAACGAAATGACCGCCAACTTATACGCCGAAATGCAACGCAACGTGAAGGACTGGCAAGCGAGTCCCGCGTGTTGCCACGCCAATCATCTGTACATGATCCTCATCGCTCACAACAAGGCTGTTCTGTTCGTGATGCAATTTGACGCGAACTGCGTAAGTACCATATTGTCGGTATGCTGCGTCAGGGGCGATCGCTCCCCCCCCCCCCTCTGAATCCGTATTTAAGGAATCGATTATACGAGTATGTGAGATACACACTTCAAATTCTTTTAATGTGGATCATTTTATAACGAAATCAAAGGGACTGTGAATACTGAATTGGGCTTTTTGTCGAGTTCATATTCAGTGAAAAATCAAATAAAACACAAGCGTAACTTTCAAAACACAGACAGGTGTTCAGAAAAGAACTACACAAAAGTCGAAAGAAGTGAATCCAACATTAGATTAAAAAAAAAAAAACACAAATATTAAGGATTCACCCGATTTAAATATTACCAACATATGATTTTTACATTTTGAGCCTGAATTAATAAATAAAATTGAGTCACCCCCCTAGAAGTAAGTCTAAATACGTCCCTACGCTGCGTTGATTTTGGAAGAAACCGGACACACGGTCGTGTTGTTAAAATTGGTGACGGCTACGTGGACGCAGCCACTAGACGGCGCTCTAATCGACGGCATTCGACTCGATTGCAAACATGTTTTCAAAGAAAACAATTAATGGCTGTTCTGCAACTTATCGTTGAAAACCTCATTTTTTATGAAGTTGAAAGCAAACGATTGCAGCGCAATTTAGTGGCCGCGTTCGTATACGCCGTATAGAACACTACCGATTTTAACAATAGGATGGCATATCTTAATAATGATTACGATTTAAATTAACGTAGTGTAGCAGTCAAGTCTTACGGTATAAGTTTTTATTGTTATAACGGGTTAAAAATTAATATAATCAAATACATATAACTTGCATAATCTGTATAAACAATAATTGAAAAAAAATCAATGTAAATAAAGCAATGTTTTACAGGCGATCACTTTGAATTTCATTGCATTTTATATTAGTATTGGAATATTCATTATCAGGAATCAAATACTAAATCTTGTATATTTGATTAATGCCGTTTGCATTGGAATTTTGAATTCCGTTCTTTAATCGTGTTTGGTCATTTACATTTTAACTTTTAATTTAAGATTACGATATCCACTGATTCGTTGCAATATTATCATTAAAACTGTAAGAACTTAAAGAGATAATCGTGGTATCAATAAAAAAAATAATTAATTTAGGTATTACTCGTGGATTCTCATCAACATTTACCGTACGGAGCTTTGATGTCTCAGACTCGATTAACGAATTTGGAAAATTTATGCTTATGGTATTCCCACATGTTGTGTAATGCAGTAGGATCACAGCCGATTGCATACGAACTCAGTTTTTTGTATTACAAATGTGAAAAACGCAATGACAAAACATTTAGCAGATAAGATTTTTAACAATTTATACGAGAATAATAAATCTGACAAACGCATAAATGTCTGAACTTGAATATCGGTGATTTCGCGTCATACGATCGCGAAAAATGTCATCGCGTAGTTTTAAGTACATGAATTGTAAAATTTCTAAATTAAGTTTTTATTTAAAAATAATATTTTATAAAAATATAATTGTTGTTACACATTATCATAACAATATTGGTTCATATTATTTCGTAATAATTTTACATTATGAACACGGATGATGAGCAAAACAAATATAATTGCAAAAATAACTTGCATCTATTCGAATAGGTTACGGATACGTACGTATAAATGTAGTCTCTTATTCTGTTTGGAATCCATTCGAGTCTTTAGGGCAGCGGTTCCCAAACTTTTCCCATCGCAGTAAATTATAATTAACCATTAGGAGCCATGGATGAACATTTATCTCGTATTCACCAACATTTGTTCCAGAGAGTTTTTAAAATCAAAATGTTCAAATGTTACGGTACACTTTTACGATTTCACCGCCGTTCCACACCTTTCGAAAAACTTCATACACTTCTATAGGGTACGAAACTTAAATGGATCCTTCAAAATAAACACATTAAATCATAGTCACTATGAGCTTTAAATTTTCAGGCCACCAGAAACAAATATCCGGATATAGGTACGCGTTATAATATATTAAATTTGTCCTTAGACTGTTATCGAATAATGAACGCAAGCTGTGATTTCTAACGATTGACGAGTTCTTAAAATAAACATCTAATATTTTGGTTATAAGTGCACCGGATATGTTTCGAAATTATAATAATTATTGCGCACGTAAGTCGTTGAAGGCGTTCAAAGCATTAACTCTATAGTTTATATTACGCTTACTCGTACTTATTTTCGTACATTAAATATTACGTATAAACATTGAAGCTTGCCAGTGTAAGCGCAGAAGAATGAACAATCAAATGTTTTGACTCGTGTTGTATATTATATGTTCCTCGGCAATATACCAAGCCTATTTTCCATTTTTTAATGTCAACACAGAAATTCACTGCAACGGTTTCAAGAGCATTTTTCCAATGTAAATCCATAAAGTCGTAACCATGATTATTATTTTAATCAAACTAGCTGAATTATCCGGCTTCGCCGGTGTGTAGTTTTTGCTTTTCCTAAATTAAATGCTTAAATCAACACACACACTGTAGTCTTGTAAGGGAGGAAACAATTTATTTTACTTAATTTAATCAAGCGCTAAATAGTAGTAGTAGCTGAATTATAAATAATAAAAAAAAAAAAAAATAATAATATCTAAAAATGATTTTAATGATTCTATGCACATATTATTATTAAACATGACTTTATAGTCAAATATACATAAAAAAACAGGTCTTTTTTATGCTCTAATTTTGTAACGCTATTTAACTTTTTTCGCAGAGTTGTGCTAAATGCTCTCCTGAGTGTCGCCGCGTGACCTGAATTTTCATTTTTTTCGTCTGAGGAGAGGAAGAGGGAGATTATATTTTTATATTCCAATTTTGTGACTACATTATTTGGAACAATTCAACAAATTAGAAAAAATGTTAAATAGTGTCGTCAAAAAATTGGAGCATAAAAAAGGGCTGTTATTTAATATTTATAAGGATATTGCAATAACATATTTGTAATTATAATTGTAATTCAAATAATCATTAATATTTCTCACTTATGATAATTAATTTACAACAATCTGACGATGGACAGTGTGAATGTATAGTCACTATCATCTAACGATTTGAAAGATAAAAAACTTCAGAAAAAGAATTGTGATATATTTATGATATAAAATCCATAGTATATATTTACAGAGCTCTTAAAGATTTTTATTTTGAGAATACTATAAATTTTAATACAGTATTTATATTTATGTTTAACCATAATCAATTTTTTAGATAGACTGTCACCAATAGAGTTATGAGTAATAAATTTCTACATTGGAAATCAAACAAAAATTATACTTGAAAATAAAACAGTCATTTTCGATTTTTCCGGCAATTTTCCGGTATGAAAAAACACTTGTTAACAAATTAAGTCAGACGTTTGTTTTTCAATTAAAATGATAAGTAAACAAATTATTATGAAATAATATATGATTGCTTAATATTCATACAACTTGGAACCGTTATCAATTTACGATTTACAATATTTTATTGTGACAAGTATTAATACTGTTGAAGAAATTTCAAAACGATCTTATTATAGCGTTTTAAATTATTTTTTTCTCAGTTGTTATTATTTGTTGTTAATTTTATAATATAAGTTATAGACGAAGTTCTTCATGAAGTATAAACATGCGTTTAATGTTTAATAGCAAAAAAAAAAAAATTGATTTTACAATTACAATACTCTATGAATAATAACAAATAGATAGTATTATTAAATATGTTCGATAATCGTGCAATAGTTGGGCGATTCATAATAAATATAAATAAAACGAAAATATTTAATAATGCTTTTTAATAGTATAACACTGCGCAAGTATATATTATGTAAAATATATGTCCGCCATAGTAATTAGTTTTCGAGATATATTCATAAATACAATAACTGATTTTAATGCATATATACTGTAAAATCTTTTACAGTTGTTACATTTTTATAATTAATAAGTTGTGCGTGCATTTTGATGGATTCATTATACATTTTTTTCACGAAAAAAAACTAACAATCATCATTAGTGATGGTTACATTTAATGATATTTACTCGACTTCAAAATGATTGCATACAGACAAGATAAAATCATTATTATTATAATTGTTCAAGAAAATAATTAATTACGAAAAGAAAACGTTAAATAAAAATGTTCACGAATTATAAAACATTATAGTGCAAAACTATTACATTTAAGAGGTATCACTTAGAATACACAATATAATATTTGAAATGAATGAAAAGCATATGTTACAAAATTTTGCATACTTCGAACACACAAAAGATTAATTTCTATCTAATTGTATGTAAAATTTATAATTAATAAAATGCATATAAAACCAAGCGATGAAACCATATAATAAACTGAATATGGCTATAAAATAACTCATGTGATAATAATAGACCCGAATAATTGTATTTTCCAAAAGATTTTAGTTTGAAAATCATCGTCATCACTGACAACGATTTGTGGCCATTGGTAAGAACATATGATAAATAATAGTATACCAACAAATTCGGTTAAAAAAATAATATAAAATAAAAACCGTTGAAAATATTCCTAACACCGAAAAAATTGTTTGCGCACAGACCTCTAAAGGTTTCAGCCAAACAAGCGTACATAATAATGTTTTTCGATATAAGATTTAATGAAGAAAATATTATTTAAAAAGATTAATTTGACTATAACATATTAGTTCTACGCAGCTATGGATAACCAAAAATTGCTAATACAATACAATAGTAAATTGACTCTTTTAAAGTGATCGAAGTGCATGTAATAACACTCAGTTGAACGAAAACTTCACTCACTCGGGATGCGATTCCAAATACCAAAACCATAGTGAATAAAAATAAATTTATCATGAAAATGCTATATATATGCATATACTATAGATATAAATAAATAAATAAAAGCTTATCCTATACTTGAAAAGTAGGACCGGTTTCGAGTTAAAAATTCATCATCGGGTATATATAAAGTTAATAGAATTGCGATTGAATATAAGAAAATAATATTGCAACTCATATTTTTCTATATTCAGTCGCAATTTTATTAACTTTGTACACACCTGATGATGAATTTTTAATTCGAAACCCATCATACTTTTCAAATATAATAATATTGCAGGCTAAACTTTTATTCATTTATTTCTATGTACAAACTGTTTGCTTATATATTAATTTACGAGTATTAACCATCTATTAATATTTTATATATTATTATATTCTATATTATTTATATTTTTTTTTATGCAAATCACTTGGTGCAGATATTTCGTACACGTGCGCCGTACGATTCGCCTGCCGTTTTTTTTTTAATTATTCGCTTTATACTCGTAGCGCCCTTGCCTTAAGTCAACGCAATCTTCTCATTCCCCTCCGTATTACAACAATGTAAATGTTGCATTTGAGGAGTACGCGGATTTCGTCCGTTTTTATTCGATGTACGGCATGACATATGTATGTTTTATTTTATTTTCTATTTTAGTAATGTATAGGAAACAAAAAAAAACTCCTAAGATATTTTCTATTACATACAGTTTACAATGATATTTCTATCATAACTCAAAAATACTTCACACTCGATTACGGACCACCTAGTACCTATACACACCAGGGCTGAGCACGCATTTGCAATGTTTTTTTTTTGTCACGTTTAAAAAACGTTTAACACGGGTTACCGCCTAATGCTGCATGTATACAAGTGCGTAATATAATGCATGTTCTAGAATGCGTGCCTTCCTTTTTTTCTTATCATATCCGGTAGCTTCCGACTTTGTTTTTTTTTTCTATTTTTTATTCCTTTTCATTGCGTTGAATGGACGCATGTTTTTTCGTTCAGCTAAGCATTGCAAATCAATTCCGGCAGCGCTGCTCTGCACGCGGGTAACATCGGCCCTCGGAAATTTTTTATTTTGACAGTTTTTTATACGTCGTAAAAAACTGGGCTATTGTTAAATTCAACCCAGAAATTGGCCATTAAACTTTATATACTCTCCGCAGCCCCGTACGTATGCACATATCGAGTGGTGGTACCTACCAGATCGGCGTTTGTCGGCGTGTTTTTAAAAAAATAAAAATAAAAATTTCTGATTTTCAATGCCTTATTCTTAGACAAACACATACACACACACGCACACGTACTATAACGTACGTACGTGAGAACGTTATTCACATGTGTGTATGGTATATAACAACAAACATATGTCCGTGTAATATCTCATTTTTTATAGAACAATATTATAAAACGTAAATATAATAATGAATAAAAAAAAAAAAAAAAAAACGAAATGAATAAGGACGATCGCCAGCGGACGTCCTG